AGAAAATTTTGATATAAGAAAGATTTTTTCTGAATCCAGCGACTTTCTTATGTCCAGAGTCACTTGTAGTTAAAAAAAATTATAATAATCTACATGTAATGTTATTAATAACAAATTTCTTAAACCACAAAAATTAAATTCCTTAACCTCGCTAAAGAGCAAAATAACAGCATTTAGAAAATATAAAAAAAAAAAAAGCTTCTCGAACATTCTAAAAAATTCACGTTATATCAGATATTGTACATCCCATACGTATTAAAGAGCTTACGTGGCATTCTCAACAAGGCAATTGTGTAATTGGAACGAATTCATATAAATAAGTATAAAGTGAAACTATTTTTACTACTTTTTGTTGCCACACTTATTTAACTGAAGCTCGTCAAAAATGCCAGAGATAACCATCAACGTCAAGTGCTCTAATGACCAGAAATATAGCGTAACGATCGATACATCCAAAACAGTTTTAGAATTTAAGCAAGCTATTGCTGAAGAAAGTGAAACTCCTGCGGATAGACAGAGATTGATATACTCAGGCAGAGTTCTGAAAGACAATGACACTCTCGAAACTTACAAGATCGCAGAAGGCCATACTGTCCATATGGTGAGAGGCTCAGCTCCCAGTGGTATGTTTTTTTTTTTCTTTTTGTGTTTTGTAAGCTCTGAAAAATAATTTCAAAGAATAATAATGAAGTAATTTAAAACAAAATGACTTACTATCGCAAATAGTTTTGATATTATATTATTATTTTAAAAGCTAACATCCAATTTCAACGCATTTTAACTTTAAGGCTCGTCACAAACACAGCCGACTCCACAATCTGCAACAACCAGTAACACACCGACCCCACAACAAAATACTTCGTCAACTGGATATTTACCATTTGGACAATTTGGTATGGGTGGAGGAATTAATCCAAGTACAAATCCCTATGGCGTTCCGCTTAATACTACTGGTGCGTCGAACGTAAATCCATTGGACATTCTCCAAAACCCTGCGATAATGCAATATATGCAACAAATGCTTCAAGATCCTCAATTCGTTGAAAGTATGATTCACATGAATCCACAGTTCGCACAAATGGCGCCTCAGATTAGACAAATGATGCAAGATCCAGAGTTTCAAGCGATGATATCAAATCCTGAAACTTTCAGAAATTTGACTGCTTTACACCCACTCATGGGAAATCTTGGCCCATTTACTGGTGGAGCAATACCTGGTTTTCCCGGATACAACATGCCAACAACTACTGGTACAAATCCAACTACCAATACAACCACCAACCAAACTGCAGGAAATACTACTGATACTAGAAGTGACACTACAACAACTGGATCTACACCTACATCTAATAACAACACCACCACACCTAATACCACCACACCAATTACGCCTATTAACAATCCATTCCTTCCATTTTTTAATCCTGCAGCGGCAAATACTGGAACCAATCCTTCACAGGCTCCTATTCTGTTCGATCCTTTATTGTGGGGAGCACTTGGTGGAGTACCACCTACTACTACTCCAGCTACTACACCTGTCTCAACTACTCCACAAGTGCCCCCAGAAGAAAGATTCCAATCTCAACTTCAACAATTGAATGACATGGGATTTGTAGATGCACAAAAAAATATTCGAGCATTACAAATTTGCCAAGGGAATGTGAATTTTGCTATTGAAAGACTTTTAGATCCTTCATTTAATTAAAGTTATGAACCGGATGCAAAATTGTCACTAAGGTCACCTGCATGATTTTGAAATCGGGATATCGGGATGAAAAAACGGGTCTCATATATAAACCCTTAGGGATCACGCATAAAAAAAAAAAAAAAAAAAAAGTGTAGCTGTCACTTGCAAATACAATTATGATGTTTTATCTATAAATTACATCACTTACATATTAATAAAAATTGTAAAATAAATTATTATAATATGGGAAAACGTTCGTTACTGGCCACATAATGATCATTATATTATGATGCCGATAACCGTACCCGACCATCAAAATTCAGCAATTATAAGATAGTGATGACTAGTTACTACTAGAAAAATTTGATATCTGATATATCATTTCTGAAAACTTTATTTTGGATAACAATAAAATTTGGTTACACTGTATAATTTGAACAAATTTATTTTTCTCAATTAAAAAAAAAATATATATATATATATAATTATTTTTAAATTTTCCTATTATTTTATACTGAAAAACTATTACAAGGTTTTCAAAAAACTCAAAGGCATTTGATAACTTTTTTATAAGAAATTAAGTGCATCTTCTATTTCGGCATTTTCGTGTTCGAGTAGATTATCTCTATTATTGAGGTAAAGTATACATCATAATCTCATGCATAGTTTTAGTCCAATAGCAGATTACTAGTTAATCAAAATTGCACATGAGATAGTTACACACACTATTAATTATTGTAGCCGCGTCCTTTAAAGCCAATCCAATTTCAAGAAACTTGCACGAGGCTGCAATTTACGCCAATTATTGCTCGAAGAATTCTCACCATGTAAAAACCGGATGAACCGACCCTAATCTTATGGTGAAAAAAATAGAGAAATCAACGTGTTGATTATATGATTTAAATCAACAGTATATCTTTGTATTTAAGAATTCTGACCTAAAACTTTTATATATTTCTTTAGATGTAAGTTATATACTGTACTTTTAGAGACAACTTATTGATTAAAAGATTTACTTACAAAAATTTAAAAAAAAAAAAAAGATATACATTTGGTTCATTTTATGAGTTAAAGAGGGACAACTATTATATTTAATATAAAAATTGTTCTTTTTATATACTATTTAGTGTAATTTATAAAAATTTCGATAATAAAAAGATTTTTTAATATTATTTTTCCTAAAATTTTGGAAATAATTGAATCATTTAGCAAATGAATATAAAAAAAAAAAAAAAATAGTGAAATTATTTTAAAATGAATAAAGTTCTTATTTAGATAGTGATTTTTTTATCAAAGGGAACGTTCATGATCAGTGATAAGTTATAATTACATGAGATGCAAAAAATGTGATAAAAAAAAAAAAAAAAATTTTTCTCTATATACATTTGACAGAGAAAAAAATATATATATATAACAATGAATGATATAAAAAAATGAATAAGAAGAAAAAAGGAAACATTATTTTCTTTTTTTTTTTTCTCGGGCTAATTCGATCATCCAAGAATTAAATAAATCTTTTGGCATCCACCATTGTCTTGAAAGAAATTCTAAATCAGAGACAATTAATTTTTTATAATTAATATATTTTGTAACCAAAGTCCTGATTTCGAATAATCCTCGTTCTTTTGCTTCAATAGTTGATAAATCATTCACAGATTTTTTAGCATTAGGAAACCATTTATCCAATACGCAAGAAAATAAATCAATTTTTGACATTTCATTACAATTTAATGAAGGATTATTTAGAATGTCCAAAATCAAATCTTTTGTTATTTTATGGTTATTATTTAGAACATCCTTGAAATCATCAAAATTTTTAGAAACTATGTTGACAACTTCTTTACGAATCATAGATTGATGTTGAGATTCTGCTAAGCATTGATCATATATTCCACATCCCAATTCTAATAAAGGTTTATTTTCAGAAATAATCCATTTCATGCAATGATTTTTTATCGATTGAGTTTTTGTTTCCAAAGAAGCGAACAAGATTGGAATTACATTCTTACAGTCGAGAGGAAATGAGTGAGTGTAATAAAGAAGTTGTATCATGTTATGAAGACCGGTCGAAAGATTAGGGTGAAGGTCTTTCCAAGGAAAATTCCATTCTTTTAAGAGTTGACCCTGTGGAGTAGAAAAATAGTCACAAAAGTATTCGGATTGTATTGACAGAATAATTTTGTGAAATTCATAAGATTCATTGTTAATGCAAATTTTAATGTCGCTATAATATGGCTTTGTTGTAAAATGTAAGCAGTCGGTATATTCTAATGTTGAAGTAGGTTTGGAAATTGACGATTGTGGGAGTGGTGTGACAGTAATAGGTCTTTAAATTTGATTGTCATATAAAAAAAAATAAATAAATAAATAAATTGATTTCATAAGTATGTTATCAGAAAAACAAGTATAATTTATTATATGGTTCAACATGTAAAGATTTTATAAAAAGCATTAAAATCCAAAATTATTGAACATAAAGTCATAAATACATACGATTTTGGAGTATTCATTTCGGTATCATCATTTTTTAATACCTCAAACAAACCTTGCAAAACGAGTTTATTAGGTACTAAATTATCCGCTAGAGCAACTTCCCAATTTTTTGGATCAAGTGAAGAATAGTCAACAAGCTTGAACCATTCATACAACTTATTATTATGCTCTAATCGTTCATAAGCATCTTTTATATCGTGCAAAGTAAAGACCAAATTTTCCTCATCATTAACATCATTCTCAATAAACCCGTTCGTTCGTTGAGAATGTAATGTAGAGACTGAATTATCATCTTCAGGTAGCTTTTCAGTCTCATCATTTATTTCATAAGTAGTATTTTCTTCAGGTTGTGATACATTGGCGACACCTTCTTCATTAAATTCATCACTAGATTCATCTAATATATCTGGAAAAGGCATGGCGAATTTTAAAGCCATTTTATTCCATTTTTCTTCAAAAGATTCATCATATTCTTCATTACCACAGAAATCCCCTACGATCTTTCTAATAACAGAAAATTTTTGATCCTCATTTTTTAGTTTAACACAATCGCGCTTTAGTACACGATCCAATCTTATAGAGCTCATAATATCATTATCTATTTCCCAAAGTTCATCGAAAGCGATAGCCAATAGCCAATCAGGTATTACTTCTTCAAACTCATTTTCGATTGCATCTAAATATAATGTATATATTTCTTGAGCAGAAATAAAAGATGAATTTAAAGGTAATTTTCTTTTATAATCATAAAAATTATCAAAATATGTTGTAGCGTATATAGAAAGTTTTTCGATCGCGAAACGATCTGATATTGAAAGGATTGAAATGAGGGTTTTGTGATTAATAGAGATATATCCAGTGTACATATATCTGAGTATTTGTGGAAAGACGTTGAAAGGATCTTTTAATCGAATCATAACAGCATTTTCTTTATGTTCAATAAAATTTCGAGAAGACCCAAATAATGTTTTGAAATATTCTGATTGTTGAGATAAAACATATCGATGAACCCTGTATTCTTTTGGAGGTATGTTTGAATTTTGTTCCTCATTTTCTTGCAAAGACTCGTTTATAATAAAAATACTAAAGTCTGAACAAAATTCATATCTTTTCAGATCGAAATTTAATGATGATTCTTTAACTTTAGAGTCATGCATATTTAAAGGAAGGATATATTTATTACTAAAAAAAAAAAAAAAAAAAAAAAAAATGATAAAAAAAAAAAAAAAAATGTAATTGTTTATAGAGTTCATTTCGGAAAAGTTGAATATTTATGATTTTTTTTTTTTGATCATTGTGGCTCGTGCTTAGCCTTATTAGCTAAACCGCATCACCAAACAGTTTTTTATATTAGAATTCCAAACAATATGTTACAAAGCTAATAAAATACTTTGCATATCTATTTATCTCTGTGATTTCCGTGCCTTACACAAACATTAACGTTAAGTTCTTTACTTCCTTTTAATAATTGAGTACGTAGTCAATTCTTATAAGATATTTTCTTAATTGCATTTTACTACGTATCTGGTATTAAAATGAGAATTACTGTATAAAGTAAAATTTAATTAACCTTGTGTTCGTGTTACTTATAACGTGAGCAATCAAGTTTTCATAATATATAGAATGAAATTCACACTTTTTAATTCCATATACTTAGGGATTATCGTTATGTATGGTATAGCATAAAAAGATAATTAATATTCGACATCGGAATTCAGCATTTGACGCAGACTCGCTTATTCAAGAATAAGAATCCGTAGTGAATGCATGTTCGGTGACTATGATTAGGAATAATCCGCAGGAATTATTAATAAATGATATGCTTTTTTTTTTTTTTTTTTTATAAATACATTAAAAAATTCACATTCCTACTAGTAAATGTCAAATTTGCCCGAATGTGTTAGATATAAAAAAAATATATATTTTTAAATATCACATGTTATTTAATAGTGAATGTGACAATATTACATGATCTCTGACAATATATGAAAATGAAAGTATCGGTATGCATTTAACTACCAAAGCAATATCGATACTTCCGTATAAATTAGTAGATATCAGATATAATTTTGACCCTTATTTCACTTTATAAAACTAATTATATTTCACGTTTTTAGTTTTATTTAAATACCGATATTGTATTTCTCTAAACCATATATAATGCACAGTTCTAGCATATTTTCCCAAATACACTTTTTTTGGTACCATGGTACTAATAAGTTTTAATGATTACTTTGTGATTACTTTGCCAAATTTCTGTGCACATACATACTTACGCCGTACGTATTTCTGCAGCGAAAAAGGCGTAGCATGAAATCACAAATTTTTTCAAAATGAAAAAATAAATCGCCTAAAACAATTTTCGGCTTTGCTGGTCTGTTTTTTTTCAACGTCTGCTGATTCGTTTTTTTTTTACAATGAAGGCCTTTTCGTTGATTAACTATTAGGGTATATTATAAACTTTTATACATTCAAAGTATTACAAGTTTAACTAGCACTATTGGCATAAACTTTATTACTATCTAAAATAATTCGGTAGACCTGTTATAATATGCTTTTTTATTATTGGCAATTTTTTTAAACAAGTTCTTTATTTTGTAATATAAAATCAGATATAGCTTTCCTTACTGTAGTTTAAAATAACTATGTCATAAATTTTAATGATTTAGCCTATAATTTTTTTCTAGAATATAAATTGTTGTTTTTGAATTTAACTTTAAATAACCAGCGGTAATCATCACCGGTATGTAATCAGCCAATAACGATCAATAAAAAGATTTCATTTCATTTACTTTAGAGTTAGGGTGAGGCCTGAGATTTTAACAAAGTGTTATATATACGCAAATTTTAGCAAGGAATTTTTTTGTTAGAACGTCGAAGTGGTTTTATATGCGAATTCTTGAGACATTAGGTTTTTTAAAAAAAAAAATCAATTTGCATGTACTATGATTGGTTACTGTAGTTTTTGACATAATATCAACTCGACTACGACTAAGTCGATTTTTTGAAAAATCGACTGCAAAATCGACTACAGACACTATTGCCAGTTATATCATAATTATAAATATTTTTTGTTTTTTTGTTTTTTATTATTACTTGTTTTTTTTTTTTACTATTAAAGTAAGTACTTTGCTTAATTTGTTTATTAATTATATTATTATTATTTTTTTTTGTTATTAAGGCTGTTTCTTTGACTGATTGGATTTTATTGATGTTCTATTACAAAGTCATATATATAGTAATTTTCTAAGGTTTATAATTATATGATAAGTATACAACAAGTTACATATATAATTTTAGTTATTGTTTATTTAAGTAATTTGCTATACAGATGTTAGATTATCTGTTTGGTTCTACACTATGTTGTTATATTTATTACCTGTTTATAAGTTATTTATTTAAATATTCTAATTATTAACTTATCTCTTATATTAAATTAATTTTACTATTATATCTAATCATTTAAATTAGTTGACTTGTTTGTAGATTTTTCTTTATATGATTTAGGTTCTTTTGAAATATATATTATTTAATATATGGAGTTGAGTCAATAGAAATCAAGCAAATTTTTTTTAAGTAAATTTTTTTGAAACTTTAACTAACAATAGCTTAGCAAAAACTTTATCAAAATTAATAAAAATTTTTTTAAA